GGTTCAGTTGTAGGAAATAGTTATTTATATAACAAGAGCGCGAAGTTCAATTTCGCGCATTGAGACTGAAGGTATTTTGACGAGGCGAAGCCGAGTTAAAATATCAGTCAAATGCGCGAAATAATTTCGCGCTAGCGTTATATACAATATTTTTTTCTACAACTGAACCGATTGTTAATTAAATTGCTGTTTAAGTTCAACTTTGTCCCGTGCGCGAAATACTTTTTTTCACTGTTGACGATTTCGCGCACGTTGTCAAGAGCAACCTTGCTTATTAATTAACCGATTAAAAATCTAGTACTTCGCGTTTCGAAATCCGTCAGAAAATGACAGTTTTTTTTGACAGTTGTAGAAGAAAAAATTTTTCTTATAGAAAGTGGCCTGTAGAATCCATAATTTCAAACAGTTCCAAGATTGGGCTACTAGTTCAAAAGTTACAACCCTTTGAATTTTCTTTCGAAATTGGTTTCTAGTCTATAACTTTTGATTGAGAAGTCTGATCGAAAAAGTACGAATTGTTTTGGATTCTACGGACCAAAATTAATAAGAAAAAGTGTTTCCCGAGAAATTTTGGAGTAGTCGATTTTTGGTAAAAAAAAAGGAAGGTTAAGTATTCAAATACTATGCGAAGTATTCGAATACTAACATATTTGGTACCTATTTGAGTTACAAATACAATACTGCTTCCATAAAGTATTTAATTACAAAGTATTTGGATACTTTAAAGGATTTGCGTAAGAATACTGGCTCTGCAAACGTAGAGAGGATCGATGCGAAGGGGCAAACGTCGATTCGCAGTAATAATTCCCCGCGTACCTACTACTTACCATTTGAGTCGCGGCACTTCGGAAGGTTCAAGACAGCGACCTCGATCTGCTATAAGGCCCTCCTGGGAAAAAGCGGCAAAGTTTTAGCCCCACTGTAAAAGCTTATTGGGCTCAGTGGGACTCGTTGAAAATACAAGATGTTTGTTTTTAAAATCACAGTTGAAAACGACTATTTAAATGCAAATAGTTACTGCCAAAAAAAAGGATATCGAAGATCCTTCGTCACTTGCTCATTTGGAGACCACTTGGGTTTGAGTAAGACTACAAAAAGTCCGTGAAAGGTTGTATTGGGTAAATTACAAATAAGATTTTTATTCTCCCTCTTGTTCTGGGTCCTCAACAGGCTTTCGCCCAATTACAGAGTGACCCGCGTAATGCTTTGTAGAGGCCCACGGAGAAGGTCTTAGGTTGTTCTATATTACTCCGGTACCTTACGAATTAGGGATATACAGGATTCGAAGCGACAGATACAACTTCAAAATTCCAAAAATCGGCCCTAGGTTGGACCTGTTGTTGACTGCTTCTTCCTCTTCTTTGTCAAGGGGAGTTGCACCAAAGGCGACAAAGTGGTTAACAGGGATAGTTCGTCATATTATTAAAAGGAATAGGGATAACTTAAATTTAAATTGGTACTTTTAGAAAAAGATTGTCTCTGCATAAAGCGTTTCCCGTAAATTTCCTGATTTTCAACATTTTTCGCGCAACAAGACACGTATTTGCGCATAAAGTCATGCGCAGCGAACTATTTGGGTAGTCCAAATTTGAGTAATCGCTAAAAGGCCACGCGTACAATTTCGGCCGTTTAAAATTCTAGTTATTTTCGTGTAAATCCATATAAAGACTTTCGGTGTAGTTTTGGTGATTGAATACAGGGCCCCCCGAGAGAAGAGCACCAGGACAACGTCAACAGGTTAGTGGCTTTTTTGCTTTTTGGGTATAAAATTAGATGCTTTCATACAGACCCGCGTTTCATGAACATTTCTGGTCTACTTTAGCTCCAGATTTGATTCAGAAAAAAACCGTAAATACCTACAATCTTTAAATATAAACTTAAAACATTGCTAATTTTATTCTATCGTTCATATTGTCGACAATCTAAGTTTTGGTATCGTGCACAGGTGTCAATTGGCCTTGATAGGCGTCGGCGTCGCTCGCACGTGTTTCGGCAAAATTGATTATGGACAGATGTTGTTTTTTCTACAATCGATATCCAAAGTAGGCATTTGCGCTCGTATTTGACAACGCAAACGTCATCTTTTTCAAGGAATGTCACTTTGTCGCTTATAAGCGACAAAATAGAAAAAACGCTCGCTCTCCCAATTATTAACTATAAATCAAATATGCATTGCTCAGAGTATCCAATGACAACGAGTAAATGACATCTTTCATTTGGACATAAGATTAAAATGATTTGAGTGAAAAATTTAATTTTTGGAAATATGTGAACTGCTCGATTGTAGAAAAAACCTTGTGTGTAATTCGAGCGCAAATTGATTGTCGATTTCAAGAGATTGCCGCGCTCCTTCGTCGCGCGTCAACTGTCTCTTTCAATCGACAATATATCATTTTGCGCTCTTAATAGTAATACACAAATAGCTATTGTAACTACTAAAACTTGCTTTGTTGCTATTTTCCGCACAGAATATGACTACCCAGAAAACTATTTCCATTTTTCCGTGTTTTTGTAGTGAAACTGCATTAAATAATTTTCCGTATAGTACAGCAACATTAAATTTTCGTCATTTTTTGCAGGAAAAATACGCAGTGTTTTCTATATTTTTGAGGTAGTGAAAAATTCTTGCCTGCGAGCGTTAATTATCGTTATCTTCCAGTGCACGTGCACTTCTTACCGAATGTACGACTTATTTATTATCTAATGTCGTTTTATCACAATCGCACGATAGGTCTCATTAAATACCACAAAGAATTCTAGCCTGAAGATAAAGTTCGGGAATGTACTCAATCATTTTAATTTATTAGCACGCAAAAATGTACTTATAACAAAATTTGTAAACCTCTGGATGATGCGGTACCCATACATATAAGTACAACATGCACTTTGCAGCTAACTCATGCCTTCTCCCAAAAATCAGTTAGTTCCCCAACGAAATGCTCCCCCTTTCAAGGTAGCCTGAATTTTCTCCTATTTTTTTTATATACGTAATCAAATTATACAGGGCGTAATTTAAAAAACACCGCAAAAGCTGTAGCGCCTATACAGTTTTGGGCCGAATTTAATGCAACAAAAACAATACCGGGTGATTCATTAGAAGTGAGGACAATTTGAATTTTCCGCAAATCAAAAAAATTATGAAGTTGGTACTAATTGAAGATCATTTATTTAATTGCAGTGGTGTATCATCATGCTTTCAGTTTCAGTAAATCGTTTACTTATTTATAATCTACAAATACTTCATCACTTCTAATGAATCACCCGGTATTTAATGAGTGCAAAAGTATCTACTACAAAAAGACCATCATAAATATGTTTTTAGCTAATATATTCGGGAGGGTTACTTAAGTATTTTAAATGGCATACGTACTTATATTTTCTGAATTGAATTCGATAGAATTTGTCCCCCTAAGTTCAATGATTCATGCAAAAGTACTTTTGATTGGAATTTTTCGGGAGTAAATACACAAGAGCTC